CTTAGAACAATGTTCTCTCCAAACATCACAAACTTCCAATTTAGTTTGTAACTCTTATAGCAAATTAGTCTTCACACAAGATAATTGTCAATTAAATCAAAGTAACCTACCTTCCAGAATCCAACTGCTTCACACAGGAGACTCCAAACTGGAGACTCTTAGGCTGGACCCTCACCTGACTTTTAAATACAAAGGCCTGCCCACTGGGTCCTGATTGGTTTAAACAAGAGGCTTCCTGCCCATACCTGATTGTTAACTAAAGATTGTTAATTAAATCAAAATGACCAATCATCGTAAGCCTGATTGTTATCTAATTAAAAAAAAACCAACCCCAAAGAGTTTAAATCTGATTGTTAACTAAATAAAAAATGACCAGTTCACACCCAACTGTCAATTAAAACAACCTACCTTCCAGAATCCAACTGTTTCACAGGAGTTCTTAGAGGTAGAATTTAAAACTGCATAATCAGATCAGTTTAATACTTTCTTAAAAAGTTAAACATACACTTAGTATAAGATCTGACAAGTATTTTCCTCAAGGGAAATGAAAGTATAAGTTTAAAACATGTATGTCATTATTTTCATTGCTACTGAGTCACTTGCCACTCATAGCAACTCTATGTACAACGTCCTGAAACCTGCTCTATCCTATATCAATCTTATTGATACACCTACTCTCATCACCCTAGTCACTGAATCAAACCATCTCATCCAGGGTCTTCCTCTCTTTCACTGTCCCTCACACTTAGAAGCATGACTGGTCCTTCCTTGCAACATGCCCAAAGTATGTCAGACAAAGCCTCAGAATCCATGCTTCCAAGGAGCAGCCTGGTTTCACACTGTCCTGGATGAACCTGTTTGTTTTCCTGCCAGTACATGGTATATTCAATACTCTTCTCCAACACCACAGCTCAAAGGCATCAATTTTCCTTCTGTCATCCCTAGTCATTGTCCAGCTTTCTGACATAGTAAGTAATTGCAAAGACTATGGCTTGGATTGGGTGCACCTTAGTCTCCAGATTGACATCTTTGTTCTTCAGGACTCTGGAGAGGTCCCTGACAGCTGACTTTCCCAGTGCAATTTATCTTTTTATTTCCTGGCTTCTGGTACCAAGAGCGTTCATTGTGGAGCCAAGCAAGCTAAAAATAAGCTGTTAACAATCTCAGTCTCTTCACCGTCTATCATGATGCAGCCAATCGACCCAGATGTGAGAATCTTTGTTTTCTTGATGTTGAGCTTCAATCCATATTGGAGGTTGCAGTCCTTGAACTTCTGCAGTAAGCACTTCAGGTCCTCCTCAGTTTCAGCCAGCAGGGTTGTGTTATCTGCATAACACAGATTGTTGAAAAGTCTTACTCCAATCCTGATGCCACATTCCTCCTCATAGAGCCCAGCTTCTCAGATGATCTGTTCCATATATAGATTGAAAAGGTATGGAGATAGTATACATCCCTGGCATACACCCTTCCCAATTTTGAACCTTGCAATGTTTCCCTGCTCTGTTCTGACCACTGCCTCCTGGTCCAAGTATAGGTTTCACATGAGCACAATCAAATATTCTGGGATTCCCATTCTTTTCAGAGTTAGCCACAGTTTGTTATGATCCACACAGTCAAAAGCCCTTGCATAGTCAATGAAACACAGACATTCCTCTGGCATTCTCTGCTTTCAGCCAAGATCCATCTAACATTAGGTCTAACATCCCTAGTACCATGGCCTCTTCTAAACCCAGTCTGTATATCTGGCAGCTCTCTGTTCATGTGCTATAGAAATGTTAATAATAGTTTTTTAAATATCCTAATTTGAAAAAGAACTTGAGTGTCCATCAATAGGTAACTGGGTAAACAAATTGTGATATATCCATTCAATGAAATGTGATTATTATTGTTGTTGTTGATTGCCGTCAAGTCGAGCACTACTCATAGCAGCTCTGTGAAGCAAAGGCCTGAAACCTTTCTATACTTATCGTTGTTTCTCCAGGTTCAGTTTCCAGAAGCACGATGTTTAGGACATGGATGCCACTCCTGCTTCCAATGTTACCTATTGGTCCAGTGCTGAGGATTTTTGTTTTTTTAATGTTGACATGTAATCTCTATTGAAGTCTGTTTGATCTCCTGCAGTAAGTGCTTCAAATCCTCTTCATTTTCAGCAAGCAAGGTTGTGCCATCTACATAAGGAAGGTTGTTGAAGGGCTGTCTCTCATCTGGATACCGTACTGTTCTTCATTTAGTCTAGCTGTCACATGATTTGGTTAGCACATCGATTGACTGGTATAGAGAAAGGATACAAATCTAATGCACTGGTTTCACTTAGTTACTCTCAGTTACTATTTACCGAAACCCCCTGTCCTGTCCTACTTTGCTGTATTGATTTATGGAGGACACTCACTCCTCAGCTACTCATCCCTCAAGCTCAGTTCAAACTCTACCGAACGAACTCAGCCCAATTCCCTAATTCAGAGCTTCTATTGGAACTTGTTTCTATCTCAATTTGGATACTTGCAATACTTGCCTGCTCCTCCACTTAAGGCTGTTTCTTCCCTTTGTGTAAGTATTCAAAGAAGTCTTGCTGAATAGGAAGGAATTGGGAAGAAAGAGCACGACAAACTGTCAGCCTAACAGCTGCCTAATGTCTCCCTGGTAATGTCACCTGCTCATAGAGGATCTTTGGAGATTGACAGTTTACAAATTAGCAGTCTGCTCTAGCTGAGAGCCATCTCAATGGAAGGCACACCAGGGCTTAGCAGCAGTATCACTTGTGGGTTTGTGAAGTAGGAGAAGAGAAAGAAATAAAACACAAGTGCAACTTCATCTTGTATGTTCTTTCTGAAATTAAGAAGTTGGGAAAGTCTGCTGTCAGAGACCTCTCCAAAGTACTGAAGAGCAACGGTGTCAGTCTGGAGAATAAGGTGTGTCCGACCTAGGCCATAGTTTTTTAAATTACTTGTGAAGTATCAGAAAGCTGAACAATGACTAGAGATGAGAGAAGGAGAATTGGGGCCTTTGAACTGTGGTGCTGGAGAAGAGTACTGAATATACCGTGGACTGCTAAGAGAAAAAAACAGATTCTTCCCGGAGAGGGTGAAAGCAGGCTGCTCCTTGGAGGCAAGGATTCTGAAGCTTTGTCTGACATACTTTGGGCATGTTGCAAGAAGGGAGGGACCAGTCCTTGGAAAGGGACATCATTCTTGGGAAGGTGGAGGGACACTGCAAGAGAGGAAGACCCTCGATGAAATGGATTGATTCAATGATGGGGTGAGTGTGTCAAAGACAATAAGATTGGCACAGGATAGAGCAGGGTTTAGGGCTGTTGTGGGGTCACTATAAGTTGCAGATGACTCAATGGTACATAACAACAACAACAACTTCTGAGAATGACACTCTTTACTACCCACTCTTCAGAAATGCCAACCATGAATCCCAGAAAGCCCTCTCCAATATTTTCTACCTCAGTGTACAGACTTTAAAGCTATGACTGTAACACTGTTTGATTGGTCACAATGCCAGGCGTAAGAATTCAGGACACCCTGATAGCAGCTTGTCCCTGATGAATTCCACTGACCCCACCAACACACCTCCCCAGCAGGGTGGGGAAACAGGGCTAGAAAATAGAGAAATGATCTGGGAAGGTGGCTTCCAATTGCCAGTAAAAGTTCCAAATTCTCCAGGGGACTTTTTTTTTTCTGTGAAAATTACTCTTCCAGTCAACTTTAATAAATTGCTGTCTTTGGAAAGCTGTCACCAAAGAAGACAATGGCAAGCCCAAATAACGATCAACACAGTGTTGACTGTCCTTCCTTTCACCAGACACTTCGGAGGGACCACAGGACCTACCTCAGCAGGCACCTTGGACAGCTAACGTAGGTCACAGGAAGGTGTAAGCACTGTGTAAGCAGAGCACAGTGGATGGTGCAAGCCAAGAATACAGCATGTTGACTGAGGCATCAAGGAGAGATGAAAGGGCTGGGCTACCACTATTCCTTCACTGACACACGGGGTAATTATTTTTTCTTCTGCCCACTCTTACCAGGGCCTGCTTTAATTTTAATTTCCCATTGCGTAGCTCTCCAATCATGAGGAGAAATTAAACACTGATACAGGTTAAACATGAATGAGTCTTGAAACCATTACGTAGAGTGAAGTCAGCCAGTTACAAAAGAATATGATATGATGTCACTTACACAAACTAGGCAAATGTATAGAATTCAAAGTTTATTCATGATTATTCATGATTAGTGATGAAGGAGAGGGAGGAAATAGGATTGTTAGAGTAAGGAGCACTGCATTTCTAGTTTCTGTTAATAATGGTGGAATTGTACAAAAAGAGATAGTGGTGATAGTTGTACAATATGATATATATAAACAATATCACTGAATTATGCATGTAAAATAATGTTGATTTTACAAATATTTTTCTGTGCATTTTTCAATTATTTCAATAAAATATCAAAAAATAAAAACAAAGAAGGAAAAAAAGATTCTATTGAATTTCAATTGAACTGCAGTTCTAATTTGAGCACAAAACATACCAGAAAGATATCTATTGTGTAAACTCTGTGAAGGCAAAATATTTCTTTTCTAGACATACAAACACAAATGATGTTTAACTTTGAAAGTTAGGCTGTAAAGGTAAAGTTCTCCCTATGTTCAAGATTATAAGGACATCTGTCACAGTGAGGTTTGCTCGAAGTCAGGAACTTCTCACTCTAGATACACTCGCTACAGAGATATTCAGGCCTCCTGGTTTCATCCCTGCCCAAGCCAGATAAATGCTCATCTCTGGAGTGACTAGGGAGACTCATTCTTTGTAGGTAAGTTACAGAGTAACCTGCCACCAACCCTCTCCGAATCTACTGGGTTGTTTAAATAGAGCAAAGTCCACAAAAAGTTACACCATGATGTGCAGAGCAAAGGCCAGAGCCTCGCGAGAGACAAGTGCCGACTCCGAGCCGCCTGGAGCATGATCCCCGCTTCCCCTGGTGGGGTCTCCTCGGGCAGCAATGAACCCCATCCTGTCAGCGTTCCTCACAGAGCTACCTGGCTGGCTCCTCTTCTCCGGAGTCTTCCTGCCCGTGGCTTTACTGCTCCTCCTCCTCATTGCTTACTTCAGGATCAAACTGAGTGAGGGTAAGTGGGAGGCTGCACGAGCAGAGGGCTAGAAATCTCTTCCACAGCACACCTTTGAGAAAACCAACATTACTTTTATTATTTGAAGGGTGGTTTATTGTTTGTTTTTTTTTTTTCATTAAATCCTTTCTCAAGAGATTTTTATTGGTGGCTGAGGCATGATTTCAGCAGCATGGATTATGTGCTGGAATGGGCGAGACGGCTGAAGGATCCGTTAGTTTCTTTCTCATCCACTGAACTTCTATGATGAAAGTGTTTCCAAGGCTGTGCTATCATGGGTTTGGCCAATTGAAGGTCTCAGTAGATGTTTGATGGCTTTTATCTATGACACTGAAATCTTGGGATAAAAGGGGAAATTTTAGGATGCTAAAGGCACCAGCAACCAGAAAATTAAAAGAAGTTTTGCGATGGGAAAGTCTGCTGTTAGGAAACTCTCCAAAGTGCCGAAGAGCAATGGTGTCACTCTGGAGACTAAGGTGTGCCTGATACAGGCCATCTTTGCAATAACTTGTTATACATCAGAGAGTTGGACAATGCTGAGGGAGGATAGAAGGAGAATTGATGCCTTTGAGCTGTGGTGCTGGAGAAGAGTATTGAATGTACCATGGACTGCCACGAAAACAAACAGATTCATCCTGGAGAGGGTCTGAGGCTTTGTCCGACATACTTTGGACATATTGCAAGGAGGGACCAGTCCTTGGAGAGGGACATCATGCTAGGGAGGGTGTAGGGACAGTGCAGGAGGGGAAGACCCTCTATGAGGTGGATTGA